AAGAGAGCTAAGGAGATGGCTTAGTGGTTGAGAGCACCGGCTGCTCTTGAAGAGGACCAGGGTTTGGTTCCCAGCACCCACATGGCAGCTAACAATCATCTGGAACTCCAGTTCTAGGGATCTGACACTCTCTTCTGGCCTTTGTGGGCAGTGCACACATGGTGCATTTACATTTAGGCAAAACATTCATAAACATAAAATTAAGATAAATAATTGCAAAAGAATACAAAATCATGTATACAAATGCTCAAGGCTGCTTTATAATCGCCAAAAAACGGGAAAGAGCCTGAATATCTCTTTGATATTCAAATGAATAAACAAACTGTAGTACATCCCCCAAGAATACACTGCTCAGCAACAAAAATGGACACATAATACACAACTGGGATGGATCTCACAAGCTTTATGAGTGAAAAGGAGCCAATGCCAGAAGACTGTATACCAGATGATTCTCTTCAGTTGGCACTCTTTATGTTTTTGTTTTTGAGAAAGTGCCTCCCTGTAGCCCCAGGTGGCCTGGAACTCACTGTGTAGACCATGCTGGCCTCAATCTTACAAAGATCCACCTGCCTCTGCCTCCCGAATGCTGGGGCTAAAGGCATGCACCACCACACTCAGCTCACCTGGGATTCTGAAAAGCACAAAATTACAGAATTGGAGAAAAGATTTGAGGTTGGCTTGGGGAAGGAAAAGTGACAATGACAAGTGGTTCTTTTGTGGCTGTTTGGTAAATTGTCCCCCACAGGTTCACGTATTTGAATATTTGGTATCCAGCAGGAGGAGTTGTTTTGGGAGATTATGGAACCGTTAGAACTTGGGGCCTACTTAGCCACTGGGGACCACCAGCCTTCCAGCCCCCTACCCCCTTCCAGTCCATTTCTGCTCCCAATCTCCCAAAATGTGAGCCACAAGAGCTCACCTTCATGGATGAGCTGCCTCATCTGCCTACCTTCCCCACCATGAGGCAATGATGTCTCCTGGAACAGTGAGTCAGCAGTCCTTCCTCTCTTGTTTGCCAGACATTCTGCCACGGCAATGAGAAAGGTAACTGATACCATGGTCGTCATGAAGCAATTTGGTATCTTAGGGTATACACAGGACAGAGTTTTATAGAACTACCTGAGTGGAATGTATGTAAGAGCTGATGAAATCCAGAGGTCTTGTTTAATCACCATGTTGTGTCAGTGTCAGCTTCCTGGTTTGGTAATGGGTTAAAGACATGTGAGACAATACCACTGAAGCAGACGGGAAGGCCATATGGGCTCTCTGCACAATTTGTGCTATTTGTACAACTTCTTGTGAGTCTACAGTTATTTCAAACAAAAAAGGCTTAAAGTGGGGTGGGGGGCGGAGAGGAGTTAAAGATGCCAGAGTTCATAATCACTAATGTGCAAACCTGTGCCAGGTGTACACAGCCAGTGCCATTAGACCTCATAGGCCTACAAAGCTAATTCATTTACTTGTCCCATTAAACAGTAAGAAAAATGAACTCAAGGAGCTAGGTGTGATGGCACATACCTCTAATCCAAGCACTCTGGAGGCTGAGGCAGGAGGATCAGAAGCTCAAGGCCAGCATAGGCTACATTTTTGGTCTTTCAGATTCTTGACTTGATGCATTATTAGCCACATTGAAATGCCTCCAAACCAGCTGAAATCCACCCTCAAGAATTCAACAAGAAGGAAACTAAAGCCTCTTTTTTCCTGTCCCCCCAATCCTCCAAAGTGGTGACAGGCCTCCCCAGGACCTCAGGCAATCTCCTACCAAGGGCTCTGCTTCTCCAGAGCCACCAGCTGGATGGCTCCAGGCTCCAGGTGTCACAGATGTTTTAAGGGGAGTACAGGATGCAAAGCATCTGTTGGTGTAGTTGGCCACTGGGAGTGGGCAGTGTTTGTGGAAGGCGGGAGCTTAGAAGCCTAGGTTAGGACATCCTCCCCCTGGGGCCTCTGTGGGCCATCAGTTCCCCATCTGGCCTTAGAATATTAATCTACATTCCCAGAGGCGGGGGCTGTGGTAATAACCAAAGGCAGTGTCCTTTGGGGGTGGGG